AGGTTGTTCACTGCAGCGCAGGGGTTGGCAGAACTGGTACTTTCGTTGTGGTGGATGCCATGTTACAACGTATTGCTGCAGAGAAGACAGTAGATGTCTTTGGATACGTTATGACACTGCGACGTGACAGAAATATCATGGTCCAAGTGGAGGAGCAATATGTTTTTATTCACGAAGTTCTTTTGGAGGCCATCCATTCTGGATACACTGAGATACGAGCTAACGATCTTAGATCCCACATGAAGCTTCTCATGCAAGTCAGTCCTACAACTGGTACGTCTTTCTTTCATCTTTAACCTGTCTTTTAATTAATTTGTCTTTTGCTTTTTCAAAAAGGTTGAGAGGTACTTATTGAGCAATATTTTTTGCTACTGTTAGGCTTGGAAACTAAAAGATTCCAAAGCTTGAAATTTCCAGGAGGATGACACACGCAGCAGCGTAACCTTAAAAATAAAGACTCTAACTGGCCTCGGCTTCGTTGATAGCTGCGTGTTTATCGCCTCACACATTAGCAATTGACTCTTAGATTAAAAGAAATCACGATAGTGAAAAAATCAACTAAACGTCTGTCCAGGAGAATGCAAAGGAACCAGCTTTCACTGTTCCCACAGCAACATTTTTCAAGAAAATGCCGTTTCTTTTTGAAGAAATTTCCCTTCTTAGGCTCTTTAAAAAGTAGCAAGGCCTGAAGACGTTTGTTTTCGTAACCTGATCTTTGGCAGTCAGATTCTTAGCTGTCATGCTTTCGTTGTCTTTAGCTGTTTTCCTTCGCTTTACCACGAAAAACCAAAGGAAATCTAAAGGCCTCTATTCCAATGCTGACGTCATAGTCTGTGCTTACATTTTCAGGCCAAACTGAAATGGATGAAGAGTTCATCCGTTTGGGTCGCGGCAATGCTCCCCAATCCAAGTTCCAGGCTGCCAACATGAGCTACAACAAGACGAAGAATCGTTATGCAAACGTTTTAGCCTTTGACGACACTCGGGTTAAACTGAGTATGATCACTGGAATAGAAGGCTCTGATTACATTAATGCTAACTTCATTGATGGCTACATGACCAGAAGGGCATTCATTGCAACTCAGGCTCCCATACCAGACACTATT